TGGGGGTCGGTCTCTTCTCCCAAGTCACAGGCGACAGGACAAGAGGAAATGGCCTCAAGTTACACCAGGGGAGGTTCAGGCTGGATATTAGGAAAATTTTTTTCCCTGAAAGGGTTCTCAGCCATTGGAATGGGCTGCCCAGGGAGGTGGTTGAGGCCCCATCCCTGGAGGTGTTCAAAAGACGGGTTGATGAAGTGCTGGGAGGTCTGGTTTAGTGATGATGCTCCTTGTTTGTTGTGTGGGTGTCTATTTTTGTCAGTGAGGTTGACGGTTGGACAAGATGATCTTTAAGGTCCCTTCCAACCTAGAAGATTCTGTGATTCTGTGATTGAAAAGCTGCTATTAGGTCTCCCCGGAGCCTTCTCTTCTCCAGGCTGAACAATCCCAGCTCCCCCAGCCTGTCTTCATAGGAGAGGTGCTCCATCATCTTCGTGGCCCTTTGCTGCACCTGTTCCAGCCGGTCCATGTCCTTTCTGTGTTGAGGACTCCAAAGCTGGACACAGAGCTCCAGGTGGGGTCTCACGAGTGCAGAGCAGAGGGGCAGAATCACCTCCCGAGACCTGCTGGCCACACTTCTCCTGTATGTATAGAAGAAGGAAGTGAGGAAGGATGGGAATGGCTCAAAGCTCCTTGGGATGGGGAAATCCTCCCCTTACCCCAGTGAGGGCCAGTGCTATGCAGTTGATGGTACAGGTTGGGGGTGACCTGCTGGAGAACAGCTCTGAGGAAAGACATGGGGGTTCTGATGGAACCATGATGCCCATGAGCCAGCAATGGGTCCTTGTGGCCAAGGGCATCCTGGGGATATCAGGAAGAGTGTGAGCAGCAGGTGGAGGGAGGTCATTCTGCCCCTCTGCTCTGCCCTGGGAAGGTCCCATCTGGAGCACTGGGACCAGTTCTGGGCTCCCCAGTTCCAGAAGGACAGGGAACTGCTGGAGAGGGGACAGCAGAGGCTACAGAGATGAGGAGGGGCCTGGCGCATCTCTCTTATGAGGAGAAGCTGAGGGACTTGGGGCTTTTTAGTCTGGAGAAGAGCAGGCTGAGGGGGGATCTGATCAATGCCTATAAATACTTCAAGGGTGGGGGTCAGGAGGATGGGGCCAGGCTTTTTCCAGTGGTGCCCAGGGACAGGACAATAGGAAATGGGCACAAACTTGAATATAAGAAGTTCCACCTAAACATGAGGAGGAACTTCTTGACTTTGAGGGTGGCAGAGCCCTGGCAGAGGCTGCCCAGGGAGGTGGTGGGGGTTCCTTCTCTGGAGACATTCAAACCCCCCCTGGACACGTTCCTGTGGGACCTGCTCTGGGTGGCCCTGCTCTGGCAGGGGGTTGGACTGGGTGATCTCCAGAGGAGCCTCCCAACCCCATATCATTCTGTGATTCTGTAAGCTCTCCATCTCTATCATCTTGGGGCACATTCAGGTTAATTAAAGTGAATTTAGTGCTGCTCATGGGCCAAACATTGCCCCATGCTGTGCCATGCTCTCTGCCCTTCTTGGATGCTCATCCTCGAGGGGATACTCATGTAAAACTGCAAATACACAGGATTTTGGCTGTGGGGATGGGGTCTGCTTTGCCCCCGGGGACTTATTCCTACACACAGGTTTGGCTCTGGTTTTTGCAGCACCTTTCCTGTTTTCCATGTCTCTAAAGGCTTCCTGGAGCAAGAGTTATTCCTGCAGGAGGTAAATAGGGTCTTACCGGGGGTATCATGGCCAGGAAATGACAGAAAAAATCCTGGTTTAAGAGTTACCGCGTCCAAATAACCTAAAATTCACTCGATTGCTTAAAAAAAATGGGCTACAAAAAGAGGCTCAGTGGCATCAGCTCGGGCTGGGAGGCAAACGCTGGGCTAGGAGGGCTCAGCAGGGATTTCTTTCCTTCCTGTTAAGGTGCCAGCTAATTAAATCTGGCATTTCCAAAGGGTCTGGGCAACCCCGCTGCTCTGCCAGCACAGCACTCCTCCGGGGTTTGCTCTTTGAAGCCCACGAGTCGTGCGGTGAGTTAAATGTCAAGCGTTGAGGAAAAAAGGAAGGGGGGCGCAGAAAATAAAGGCATTTGTGATCTCAAATCCCACGGAGCGATGTATGAGGGCTGTGAAATTGTGCTGGAGCCAAAGCAAGTGACACACAAGCACAGAGAAGTGTTTGAAGCTAACCAGAGCCTGGCGAAGGTCCTTCTGCAAGACAAGTGAGATGAGTTTGCCAGTCAGCGGGTTGTAGAGAGCTGGAGGGTATCATTTATTATCTTCTCATTTGTTGGCATTGCAAGGCAGGTATGGCAAGAACTAAGCTGGGGCTGGCCCAGCTGATCTCCAGAGGTTTTTACCAACCTTAATTATGATAAATACAGCCAGACTGAAGAAACGCCACTGGCTTAGACCCGCCCCCAACGGGAATGGGATGGGATGGGATTTTTCACTGAATTTTTAGAGTTGGAAGGGACCATAGAGATCATCTAGTCCAACTCCCCTGCTAAAGCAGGACCACCCAGAGCTTGTCAGAGCATGTTACTCAGGAGCATCCAGGTGGGTCTTGAAGATCTCCAGAGAAGGGGACCCCACACCCTCCCTGGGCAGCCTGTTCCAGGGCTCTGCCACCCTCACTGTGAAGAAGTTCTTCCTCATAATCAAGGGGAACCTCTTCTGTTCCAACTTGTGCCCGTTGCCCCTCATCCTCTCACTGGCAACTACTGAAAAGAGTCTGGTTCCCTCCTCCCTCAGCCCGCCCTTGAGATACTTGTCAGCATTGATAAGGTCTCCCCTCAGCCTTCTCTTCTCCAGACTAAAGAGTCCCAGCTCTCTCAGTCTCTCCTCATAAGGGAGATGCTCCAATCCTTGAATCATCTTTGTAGCCCTACCCTGGACTCTCTCCAGCAGTTCCCTGTCCCTCTTGAACTGGGCAGCCCAGAACTGGACGCAGGATTCCAGTTGTGGGCTCACCAGTGCAGAGCAGAGGGGCAGAATGACCTCCCTTGACCTGCTGGCCACACTCTGCCCTACGCAGCCCAGGATTCTTGGCCACAAGAGCACACTGCTTGCTCATTGTCATTTTGTTGTCCACCAGGACACCCAGATCCTTTTCTTCAGAGCTCGTCTCCAGCAGGTCCATGCCCAACCTGTATTGATGCCTAAAATTCTTCTTCCCCAGGTGCAGGATCCTGCACTTTTCCTTGTTGAATCTCATGAGGTTCTTCCTTGCCCAGCCCTCCAGCCTGTCCAGGTCACCCTGGATGGCAGCACGGCCCTCTGGGGTGTCAGCCACCCCTCCCAGTTTGGTACCATCAGCAAACTGGCTGAGGATACACTCTGTCCCCTCCTCCAGGTCACTAATGAATACATTGAACAGCACTGGACCAAGTATTGACCCCTGGGGGACACCACTGGTTACAGGCTTCAGGGATGGGGCTGAGCACCCCGCTGGACCAAAGCAGCAACCGGCACAAGCTCGGGGCCTGACTTTGACAGATCATTTGCTGTTGGGCTGTAACACTGGGGCTGCCGCTTTTTCAAATATCTAATTAAAGAGAAAAATGCCACCATTAACCTATGACTGATCTGCCACTGGGAGCTGGGCGCCGCTTTGAAGCCCGAGCATCCCATGCTCTGGGGTGAGCTGGGGCTTCTGCAGACAGACGAGGGCAGCCAGGAAAGCAGATGTTAAACAGAAGCTTCTTAAATAGCCAAACCCCAAATATTTGGTGGGGTTGGAAAATAACTCGCAGCTCAGCAGCCTCTCTCCAAACCCTGTGAACTCTCTCTTGCAGCGCAGAGCCGGGGATGTTATTTTACTGCCCCAAAATAACTTTGCAGGGACAGGTGCTGTCAAACACTCTCCCCGGCTCGCGTGGCCCTGCTGCAGTTATTTAAGGCAGGCGCCGGCAGCAGCCGGTTTGTTTGCAATGCCACCATGAAAAATAATATTATTTTTTCAGTCCAGAGTGAAAAATAGGGGAATTCTCCCAACACTGAGGGGTCCTTTCTCTTGGCAAGTGGAGCCTGGAAAGCACAACCCCAGCACAGAGGGTGTATCAGAGACAGGGATGGGCACATCAGGGTTTTTTTTCACTGGGAGAAGAGGACGGAGACCTTGGTGCAGGTGAGATGGACCTGTGACAGGAGCCAGCAATTCAGCTCACAGAATCACAGAATTTGATTCAGCAGCTGCTCACCACCGCTACCCACCCATTCCTTCTCCCGATTTCGGTTTCGAAAGGGATGTCTGATCTATTCCTATTTCTTTAGCTGCCAGGTTGGTTTGTAAAGGGAAGGGGAAAAGCCACTCCACTCACCACCCTCTCTGGGAGACAACAGCCTGTGGCCACCCTCTGGGCTTGGCAAGGCAAGAGGAGATGGCAGCCCCCTCCTCCAGCACCCCTATGGGCTCCCCCATCCGATACAAGACCCTAAAACCCCACACCGAAGACCTTCACATGAGAAATTCCAAGCTTCTCTAAGTGCTCTGATCCCACAATTCTTGTAGACAGAATAACACACGGATGGTTTCACAGAGATGGCTTTTCAGCACCCAGAGTCTGAATAAAATGTCCCAGAGCTCTTTGAAACTCCCTGCCGTGCCCAGGCAGCTCTGAAGAGAAGGGCTGATCTTGCTTACGTTACTGAGCAGCTGCTCTGGGGCATTTCTGCACGGCTCTCAGCTGTTTGCAGCTGGTTTAAGACCCTGCATTACATGGGAACCACAACCAAATCTTCGTTGCAGAGCCACAGAGACGCCTCTTTAATTAGCAAAATAGAAAACAGCCCTACAAAATCCAGCTCAAATGCGATTAGCGCCAGGCAAAGAGGAGGCCAAATGAGATTGCAGGTACAAAACAAGGAGGAGATGGCGTGGCAGCGTGGGGCCAGGGCCAACCCCATTCCCTGCGGGACTCGCAAGGGCACGAGCCCGACCCATCCGTTACATTTTGGGGGATATTATTCAATCATAGCTCCTGGGAAGATGACGAGGAAGAGCGGAGCGCGGCTACGGGGTCTGACCTGCCTTGAGCAGATGCATTCGAGCCAAGCATGTACCCCAAAAATGCATGCAAAACCCCAAAAACTGCCAGAATAAAATCACCTCCGCACTCGGTGGCACACGGGATGCTTTGCAAGCCAGCCCTGTGTCTGTACCACTGTCACTCCTCTTTCTGCAAGGAGAGAGGCTTTTGCAAGCTCTGATGGTAGGAAGGAACCTTCAAGGTCAAACAGTCCGTCCCCATCCTGTTTATTAACAGCAGCATTATTTTTTTTCCTTTTTAAACCAGCTACTATTTAACACAAATCCTTCACGGAACCCACTGCAGTCTCTGTCACAGCTCCACCAACTTCACGACAAAACAGTTTCAACAGTTTAATCCAGACCCTCTCATTTAATTTTGCGCTTATTTATACCCATTATAAACAGACACAAAGATCCTGCCCTTTCCACGTGCCTGGAGAACCGACCCGGCCGCTCAATTAACAGAAAACTTTTAATAAACCTCCACGACAAGGGTTTAGGCTGTGCTTTTGAGGGCTGAGGTTACGCCTTGTGCCACCTGAGCTCAGCTAAACCCATGGTAGACCAGGATTTAGACGAGCTGCATCCAAGCCCTAGTGTTCATCAGTGACCTGGATGAGGGGACAGAGTGTATCCTCAGCAAGTTTGCTGATGGTACCAAACTGGGAGGGGTGGCTGACACCCCGGAGGGCTGTGCTGCCATCCAGCGAGACTTGGACTCTGACAAGCTCTGGGTGGTCCTGCTTCAGCAGGGGAGTTGGACTAGATGATCTCTATGGTCCCTTCCAACTCTAAAAAAATTCAGTGAAATTCAGTTCGCCCCCACCCCAGGGAAAACTGTTATTTCTTCAGCTTTGTATTCCTGTCCTTTATATAAAAAAAAAAAAAAAAAAAAAATTTGCTTCTGCAGGACTCCCAGATAGAAGGTGTGATAAGAGCAAGCATTCATCTCTAGGGTAATTTGGGGTGTAAATAGAGTAGGAGTGAGATTAGAGACACTTCAGCTAGAACATCCTTGCCTTAGGAAGGTACCACAAGTTCTGCACCGGCCTCTAGTTGGGGCTGCCCCATCCCTGGAGGGGTTCAAGGGCAGGTTGGAGGGGGCTTGGAGCAACCTGGTGTGGTGGGAGGTGTCCCTGCCCAGGGCAGGGGCATGGAACTAGATGATCTTTAAGGTCCCTTCCAATTCATGACTCTATGATTCTCTACATCCCACCCCAGGAGGGTGCCAGGATGCCAAAAGCAGGCAGCAGAGGCTTGGAAAAATGTGGGGTGAAAGTAGGGAGTCTTCCCAACCTGAGGTCTGCAGGCAACGTGTCTGCAGCAATTGTGCCAAATTCTCTTTGTCCCTGTGAAGCACTTTGCCTTCAAATTGAGTTTGCAAGAACAAGGCTGAATAGAACCATAGAATTATTTAGGTTGGACTCCATGATCTGAAAGGTCCCTTCCAACATCAACCCAGTGCTGCCCAAGCCACCACTAACCCATGTCCCTCAGCACGACATCTGCCCAGCTTTTAAATATCTCCAGGGATGGTGACTCCACCACTGCCCTGGGTAGCGTCTTCCAGTGTTTGACAACCCTTTCAGTGAAGAAATTTTTCTTAATAGCCAATCTAAATGTCCCCTGGCTTAACAAAGTAGAGGGCACACTCAACAACCACCATTTTTTTCCAGGTATCACTTGTGCATGACCATCCTGATCTATTTCTTGCCGCTTTTGGTGATAGGATGTGCCTACACTGTGGTGGGCATCACCCTCTGGGCGAGTGAGATACCTGGCGACTCCTCCGACCGCTACCATGAGCAGGTCTCGGCTAAGCGGAAGGTAAGGAGCTTCAGGCACAGTAGGAGCCATCATTCATGCCCAATCCCTACTGACCATGGCCAGAAGTCCACCATGGAGGAAATAGGTCAGAACTTGCTGCATAGTTGTGGAGCATGGAAGGTCCTCCAGATGTGTCCTCCATGAATGTGCATGTAAACCAAGGTGTTGACCATGTGTTCCTGGTTAGAAAGGTCTCCAAGGCAAAAAGCGCTGACCCCTTCTGGAGGATGACACCCTACCTGTGGGGTGTCCAATGGATGACTTTGCTTGCCTGCCCTCTCTTCTCCTCACAGGTAGTGAAGATGATGATCATCGTGGTGTGTACGTTCGCGCTGTGCTGGTTGCCCTACCACATCTACTTCACCCTGCAGCACTTCAACCCCGACTGGTACCTGCAGAAGTTCATCCAGCAGGTCTACCTGGCTATCATGTGGCTGGCCATGAGCTCCACCATGTACAACCCCATCATCTACTGCTGCCTCAACGACAGGTGGGTTTCGAGTAACTTTTGGCAGTGTCTTGGTGCAACAGGGTGGGGAGAAGAGGGAGACACAGAGGGATCCGATAGAGGAGAGTATGGATGAAGAATTTTTCCTGGATGGTTCTCTCAGGGGCTGCTTCCAGCAGATGTAGGGATGATACAACACTCACCTAAATAACCTTTCCTAAAGCCCCTGTTTGAGGGCAAGTATCACAGAATCACAGAATCTTAGTGGTTGGAAGGGACCTCTGAGATCATCGAGTCCAACCACAAAAAAACAAAACAAAACAAAACCACACAACCAAACAAATACAAAACACACCACACCAAATGCCCACCAAAAACACCGCACCCACCAACTAAACCCCACACTCAACACCTCGCCATAAACCAATAACCTTGGGCACTAGAGCATGCCCTGAAGAGCCATGTCTACAAGTTTCTTAAATCCCTCCAGGGATGGTGACTCCACCACCTCCCTGGGCAGGCTGTTCCAGTGCCCGACCACCCTCTCAGTAAAGTAATTCTTTCTAATATCTAATCTAAATCTCCCCTGCCCCAACTTCAGACCATTTCCTCTGGTCTTGTCGTTCGTCCTTTGGGAGAAGAGGCCAACACCTGCCTCTCTACAACCTCCTTTCAGGGAGTTGTAGAGGGCAATGAGGTCTCCCCTCAGCCTCCTCTTCTCCAAATTCAACATGCCCAGTTCCCTCAGCCTCTCCTCATAGGACTTGTTCTCCAGGCCCCTCA